TTGATCAACAATGACAACTGCAACATAGTTAACTTCATCAACAACAATGACACAGCTACAACATAACAAATCTAACTATAAGACCATTAACACCATTATTAACAACAGCAACAACATAAAAAAGTCTAACTACAAAACCACATTAGCATCAAAATGAGAGAAACAACAACAATATCAACAAAAATAACAACATCAGCAGGAGCAATTTTAATACCATCAACAACAAAAACAGCATCTGCATCTATTTAAAGTAATAGACCCCTTGCAGTACTTCAGAATGCAGCTCAATTGGGAGGACATAATAGGTTTCCAATTGAGATTGAAATTATTTTCTTCTGTCCTCCAAATTGATCTGCATTGACGTCACATGCAAGGTGTCTATTTGGAGGAAATAGCAATAGGTTTCCAATTCTCAGGAGATAGAAATTCTTTTCTTCTGTCCTCCAAATTGATCTGCATTGACATCACATACAAGGGGCCTATAACTGTTATTATTTGGTTCCTATTTACCTCCTCTTTTTGGGCAACATGCAGCTCAGCACGACACTTATCAGAGATGACATGCTTATTTTCATTTATTACTGCATCTCGCACCAGTTTGCTCAAACACTTTATGACCTCATGTCTGTGATGATTAAAAACAACCAATCAGAAATCAATACCATAAAATATCATTTGTTAGCCATTAAGTATCTTTTTCATAGAAACTGTCAACCACACAACAGCTTGGTGATAGTGGACTGTCAATAAATTAAGGTTGCCCAAACATGGCAGACAGTAAGTTGGCAGGAAGATTTGTCTTGTATTTTACTGCAACCTTAACCAATCCCTGATCTACCCCTGTAGAACAGTGAAGCCTGATTCTCACTAGTGACGCAGGCCCGGCGGGGGGGGGGGGGGGCTCCCATATATGGACTATACAGGGATGATCCGCTGAACAGGGTATGGTTTCTCGAGTTTCTTGTCATGAACAGGGTATGCAATTTCACTCAAGGTCCAAGTTCTTCCTGAGTTTCCTGTCATATTCAGGGTTTCTACTTTCGTATTGACCGAAACTGGTTATTATGGTCTTTAAAAAACGATACGCGAGATGACATGAATATTGAAACAGGAATTCAGTGCAATTAATCATATCTTTTGTCATAAAAAGGGTCTACAAATTTGATTTTTTTTTTGTCATAAACAGGGTACCTCTTTTAGAATCCCAGCGGAACACCCCAATTCCACCCAAATTCTGGCGGAGTAATCCCCCCCCCCGGGGACGCAGGCGACGTAAGCATAAGCACAAGCAGACACAAGAAAAACAAAATTTTCTGTTCTCTTCTCTTCTCTCCTTCTTTTCAATAGTGAAAAACATGATTTAGAAACCTTCTAATACTTACTTCTCATACACACACACATATATATATCTCCTATCGGGCCGATAAACCCACCTAATGCACCCTTGAAGTCTCATATGAGACTTGGTAGCTCAGTGGTTAGAGCTTGGTACTGGAATTGCCAGGGCACGGGTTTAAATCCCATTGAAGACTCAGAATTTTCTTTCAATTTGCAGCTGCATAATTTGCTTGATATACTACGAGGATCAGCTCAATTTGATACATTACAACCGCAGTACAAATACATGTCTCATATATATTCTCATATGCAGATACTTACTTATCTCGGGCATCTCGACAATGCTCCTGTGCATCTTCTCTACAGGCCTTCTTGAACTTAGCAGAAAACCTAAAGTCTTTCAGTTCAATCTTGAAATAAGGGATTAAAAGGATTGTCAAAAACATTTCAAATGTTAAAAATCTATGGTCATGGTCATGATTGTGTTTCTCTAAAACTTATTTTGCACATTTGATAATATTATTGCATGGAACCCACATATTACAATCTATATAATCATCATCATCATTATCATCACCATAATCATTATCATCACCATCAACAGTAATATGATGATAATGATGCCGATGATGATGATGATGATGATGGTGATGATG